TACGTGTGCGTTTTAATCGTATTTAGAACCATGTGTATTTAATTATTTATTTATTTTTTCAATGTTGTTTTTTAACTGTTTTTCCTTTCAAGTTGTGTTTGGAAATATTTGTATTTTTCGGTTTTCATTAGTATTTCCGCGTCATGCTTAAATAGTTTTTTTTTTCCATTTTCTAATGTACAAACCAAACAGTCTGCTATTATTTTTAATTTAAATAAAAACATGTCTTTTTTGTTTTCTTTTATGTTTATAGTGTTTTCTTAATGTTCTTATTTGAACAATAGTGCCCTGTGTCTTGTTTTAAATGAAAAGTGAAATAATTATTGCACTAGATTAAAGCGAAATGTGTGCACGCACTTTGGAATTATAATAAAAGAAAATACGCTCTGAAATTTTTGGATTAGTTAAACAATTAATTGGTAAGAGTCTTAATTAAGTTAATGTGATTTAAATTTTTTTAAACAAAGCATGTTAAATGTTAAATTGCACTAAATGTCTGGTTATAATTTATCATAAAGTTAAATTGACAGTTTTGAAACAAAAATTATTTTTTTAACCGGCTTAATATCTACAGGTTAAACGGACTTTCAAATATCGGGCCTAAGAGTAGATCGGCATATTTGATATATGAAATGAAATTTCTTTATTGTTTTAACTTTTGAACGATTTATTGACAAACTGATTTTTTGTAAGAAGAGTTGGTCAATTATGAACCGATCTTCATAAAATTTGACGTTGACCGATATTTTAAATATAGAATAATATCGTGCGGACGGACATGGCTAGATCATCTTAAAATGTAATAAGGAAATAAAATATGTATATTAGAGTTAGATCCAAAATTAGGCCAGTAGTGTTCTAATAAAAAAAACATATTTCTTAGGTAATTTTGGTGTAAAAATCTTTCGCGGCAAATCGATTTTCTAAAACTGTTCACAAACATATCTTTATCAAAATTTTGAGTTCTTTTCTACACTGAAAATAATCTATGCAAAATTTTAACTACTTTTTTCGTAATATTTACAAAAATTTCGTATATAATACGAAATATTATTTCATAAAACGCTTTTCTAATTTTACCATAGTACGAAAACCTTTTTTAAAATCTTTTTCATAAATTTAAGCGTAATTTAACATAATGATATTAATTGCATTATCATAAAAAAAAAACTACAACATTTTTTATAAAATTTAAGAAAAAGTGTAATATAATTCACGAATTATTTTCATAAAAAAGGGAAAACTTGATGATAATTTGTTAACTAAAATTAGAAAAATTATTTTAAAATGAACAAAAATAAAATTTACATAAATTAATTATTCGTAAATTCTATCATATTTATTTAAAATTTACATTTTATAATTTATGTAATTTAATTTTTCTAAGAATATTTTGCATTATACTAAAATATTTCATAAGATTTCGTATATATTACGAAACAATTTCGTGGTGCGAAACAACGAAAGATTCGTACAATATACGACATTTTTTGGTATGTATTAGGCCTGGATTATTTTGTTTACAACAAAAATATCCGATTTTTTAGTAATAAATTTAAAATGTTTGGAGTAAATATCGAAATCTTTAACTAATTTGCCGCGGAATCTTTTATAACGCTCGAGAAAAAGTGCTAAACTTTTTCAACGTACTTTTATATACTACACTGAAAAAAATCCATGCTCAACATTACGAAAAAAAATTTCGTAACTTCTATTTTCGTAATATTATCGTAATATTTACAAAAATTTCTTGTATAATACGAAATATTCTTTAATAAAACCCTTTTCTATTTTTACGAAAGTACGAAAACCTTTCGTAATATTTTTTTCTTAAATTTTAGCGAAATTAAACATAATGATATTAATTATATTATCATTAAATAAAACTACAACATTTTTACAAAATTTAAAAAAAAGTATATTATAATTCACAAATTATTTTCATAAAAAATTTTAAAAATTCGTGTGGAGAATAATTTTTAACTAAAATTAGAAAAATTATTTTAAAATGAACAAAAAAGTTTGCATAAATTAATATTTTGTAAATTTTACCATATTTATTTAAAATTCTCTGTTTTCAATTTATGTAAATTAATTTCTTCAAGATTATTTTGCATTATACTAAAATATTTCGTACAATTTCGTATATATTACGAAAGAATTTCGTGGTGCGAAACAACGAATGATTCGTACAATGTACGACATTTTTCGTATATATTAGGCAAGGATTTTTTTCAGTGTAAAATGGATAGAGCCGATTTGAAATTTTCAAAAATTGCATAAAAGTTATAACCCTATACTACCAATATTGAGTAATTTTCATACATTCAGTTCCCTTTGAGATATTGAAACAGTGGATAAAATAAATTTTAAATTTAAACATAATTTCGGTTGTAGTGATCCTAATGGGAAGATCAGTATAAATTTGCGGCGATATAAATAAATTTATTTAAATTCGTCCGAAAAACTTGTAAATATTTTATTCGCTAATTTTGGTTTTAGTAATATTTATGTAAAGAATTCGATAATCTTTAGCATGGTTTTCAAAAACTAAGACAATTTCTTCACTGATTTTGGTTTTAACCCTATTTTGATCGATAACGAGTGTGAAGATAAAGAATGTTAAGAATTATCCTATTGAGAAGTTGATCAAACTTATAAGTAATTTCTATACCAATATTGATGTTTTCTTAACATATTCCAATAGAAATAATCCTGATCAGTATTTATATATATAACTAAATAAGTATTGCTCTAATATTTCAAAATTTAAACTCTAGCGATATTTTGAAATTATCATAATTATCCTGACTGAGTTTGATTTTAAATATATTCCATTCGGAATGATCCCAATAAGAAAATCAGTAGCAATCTATTGTAAAATAAATTTTAGTCAAAACAAAAACAATTTTTTAGAATTTGTTTAAAATATTTCAAAATTTTAACTCTAGCAATATTTAGAACTCATATTGAGGTAACTGTCAACGATTGCAATGATCATAATGTGAAGATAAGTACCAGTATGGTTTTAAAAAAATAAGACAATTTTTACAAGGATTTCAGTTTTTTAACATATTTTAAAAATGGTTGTTAAATTTGTATATTGAAGCAACCGGTTATTATAATTTTCAAAATTTGACCCTTGACCTTGCATCAAAATTGTTAAATTTCTAATACAATTTCTACATGGATTTCAGTTTTTTAATAAACATAATTTAAAAAAAAGTACTCTGTAACTCATATTTGTATATTGAAGCAAACTTTTACTATAACTTTCAAAATTTGACCTTTAACCTTGTATCAACATTTTTAGATTTCTAAGACAATTTCTACATAGATTTCAATTTTTAATAAACATATTTCTAAAAAGGTTCTCTATAACACATATTTGTATATAAAAGCAAACGTTTATTATAAGTTTCAAAGTTTGACCTTTGACCTAGCGTCATTATGGTGGGATTTTACCGAAAATTAAAATTGAAAGCGGAAATTTCGAAAATTCATTAAAAGTTGTTGATTTATGTTAAAAAATATTACATTTATCACCATTTTCTCAATGTCTGGTTATATATTATCGAAACTATATATTGACAAGTTTTCATACAAAAATATTTTTAATCGGCAGAATATCTACCGATTAAACGATAACCGGAGGTTGAAATAACGGGCCTTAATTTGTTAAAAGCTTGTAAATGCAACTTTATACCTTGGATCCGCTGTATAAGCAATATATTAGTTTCGATTTTGAAAGATTATTATTAAATCACTTAATTTATAGAAATACCAACATTTATAATTGTAGTAATATAATCAATAAATACTTTTAATATATTTGCATATATTTCAAACGATAATGTGATTAACCGCAAATACATATTCTTAATATTATAGTGTAAATTTTAGAAAGCTAAATGAAACCACAAATAAAACTCATATTACAAATTTCCATAGTTATTAGAAGTTAATTAAATAAAATTTTACAGTTTAGTTAAAACTGGCAAATAATTTGGACGAAAGAAAAATTAATTTAAAATAAATTATTAAAGTTATAACATAATTAACTAAAAGGAAATAGTAAATATTTCTCCCGGTGTTTCAATTATAATGATTAATAAATATAAGAAAAAATTATTAACAAACTAAAAGTAAATAATGATTTTTGTTTATAAATAATCAAAATTATACAAGTTTATGGCTTTCCTAAAAATCATTTATATATTCAAAAAGTTTTTTTATACAATTCTAATATATTTGTATAAGACCTTCAACTTTATCTAAAAAAAAATTTTGTAGCAGTATTTGGTTTTTTTAATCTTTTTTTAAAAAGTATTTTATTTTTAATTTTTCTTTAGTAAGAAATGCTATTTCATTTAATAATACTGTACATGACCTTCATCAATTGGAATTTTAACAAAAAATATCTATATTTTTTTTAGGAAGGGGGACAAGAATTTTTTGTTAAAATAAACTGCTAGTCACATTTTAGAAATATTTCTTATTTTCCTACAAAGTTTCAAGTTCAATTTCAATGATAATTTTGTTAATGGGTGGGGGCTCAGTGGGAAGTACATAATTCATATCAAATAAAATGTATTATTGATAGGGTTCAGTACACAAACAATACTGAAGTTATCAATAACACGCAATTTATTAAGAGTTTAAGCTGAAATATTAAAACAAATATGTAGTATAAATTAAATACAGGTGGGTTTCGACGAAAGTTTAAGGATTTTTGTTAAAGAAGAGTTTAGGAAAAGAAATTTATAAAATTTTGTAATAAATTAAACAATAATTTTTTATTTTTTTTTATTTTAAGTAATAACCGAGTTTTTGACAGTTTCTGTGTTTTAAAACCATTCTCAAAATTTTACGCTTACTCTACGTAGTTAGTTAATTTTCTTAAAGTTAGAATAAATTATTTATGATTGCTTACCTTTTATTGCTGTTTCATATACAATAAATATTGTAGTTCGAAGTGATGGCATCATCGCTATATAAAATTTGTGTATTTCATTTTTTTTTTTTTATATTTTGACTTCTACTCGTATTTTTTTTTTTTTTTTCGTCGCACAAATATACAAAATTTAGATGTCTATGCATATTTGATGTAATTTCGTTTTAAAAGAAATTTATTATTTCTTACAAAATGTGTTTCTTTTCTACAACTTGTTGCAAAATCTACTTATTTATATTTGGCCATATTTAAAAACCTTTTCAAGTGCATCCACACAGATGATTTATGATCTTAAAAAGAGAACAAGAAAAAAAAAAACAAACAAGTTTCATTAAATATGAATTAGTATATTGTTTTAAAATTACTGACAATTATTTTCAACAAAAAAAAATATATTAATAGTATACAAATTCTAAGATTTTTATTTTTCTTTAAAAATAGCTACACTGAAAATGTATCTGTTAATAAATTAGCATCACAGCAAGTTTGGCTGCACTGAAAAAATGGAAAAAATAAACATAACATTAATTATCATTAGGGTTCTATAGTTGAAACGAAAAGTCGACTTTTCGACTTTTTTCATTTAGTTAAAAGTCGACTTTTCGACTTCTCGACTTTTTGCATTTTATGAAAAGTCGATTTTTCAACTTTTCGACTTTTTTGATTTAATTAAAAGTCGAATTTTAGACTTTTCGACTTTAAGTATTTTATAAATAGTCGACTTTTCGACTTTTTGACTTTTTTCGACTTTTTCCGACTTTTTTCGACTTTTCGATTTTTTCGACTTTTTGACTATTTTCGACTTCTTTCGACTTTTTTTCGACTATTTTTTGACTTTTTTCGAGTTTTTCCGACTATTGTAGAGTTTTTGACTTTTTTCCACTTTTTTTAAGATTTTCGACTATTTTTGACTTTTTTCTACAATTTTCGAGTTTTCGACTTTTTCCGACTTTTCGACTTTTTTCGACTATTTCCGACTTTTCAACTTTCTTCGACTTCTTTCGACTTTTTTTCGACTATTTTTTGACTTTTTTTGAGTTTTTCCGACTATTGTAGAGTTTTTGACTTTTTTCCACTTTTTTTAAGATTTTCGACTATTTTTGACATTTTTTACAATTTTCGAGTTTTCGACTTTTTCCGACTTTTCGACTTTTTTCGACTTTCTTCGACTTTTTTCGACTTATCGACTTTTTTCGACTTTCAGACTTTTCGACTTTTATTAACAAAGTCGACTTTTCGACTTTTTTCACAGACCATAGTCGAGTTATCGACTTTTTTGGAACAAAATAGTCGACTTCGACTTTTTTCGACAAAAAGTCGATTGTTCGATTATTCGAAAGTCGATTTATAGAACCCTAATTATCATCAGGTTTATTTGATTTTTTCGTACTGTGGTTCGAGTTCGAGTCCCGCTCGAAAGTAGAATGAAATTGAAATAACGACTTTCTCGCAATTCCCATATTCCATTTCTTCAAAACTTGTGAGTTAAATAGATGATGTCTACAAGTAACATTGCATATGGTAGTATAAGATTGCTGATAAGAAGCCGTAGCGGTCCCGAAAATGCATTCCACTCTGCTGTTGTGTCCATTAAAGTAAAATTTTACAGTATTCTTATAAGTAACAAGTAAAAAAGTATAGTCGGGCGTGGCCGACCATATGATACCCTACACCAGTGATGAATATTAAATGGAATTTATTTTTCATAACAAAGCATTTATCTTGAATATTACCTTGATTCCGCTTTATTTAAGCAATTTATTGACGAAAAACTTATTTTCTAAAAGAGGCTTTATATGGGGGATAGGAGCAAATGTGGACCGATCCCGATAAAATGGGCTGGATAGATTTGTATTTATATACTATATGTCTGTGCTAAATTTCATTGCAATAACGGTGTTAATAAGTAAATTTCGGATATTCAAGTCACTTTCTGAAGGGGGCTTTGTATGGGGGCTAGGGTCAAATGAAGTCCGATCATTTCGAAATTCGGCAAGATCATCAAGGCTTGTATAAAACTTTCATCGGGATACATTTATATAATACATAATTATGAGCACAAAAGCCCTTTTCGGGGGGTTCAGTTGTATGGGGGCTAGGTGAAATAATGGACCGATTTTAACCATTTTCAATAGTCATCGTCCAAACGCGTATTCCAAATTTCATCAAATTATCTTGAAAATTGCGACCTGTACTTTGATAACAACGTTTACATGTGATTCTGAGTCGATCGGTATACTTTAAGGTGGGTATAGTACTAATGCGTTACAAACATCAGCACAAACACATAATACCCTTCCCACTAAAGTGGCGTAGGGTATAAAAATATCGCTACAATTTCGAAAAAAAGTTATCCCCCAGTCCATTTCGTGATTATTAATATTTTTGTATGGGTTTTGAATCTGTTAAATTACCACTTTCGTGATCGAAAATACATATTTGTCATAAATTTTCTTTTTTAAATGATCGCATTCGATAGATCAAATGTTAGTCCTATCAGAGAATAATCAAATGTTAGACCTATCAGAGAATAAATTTCTATTGAAGATACTGGAATGACTAATAGAAATTTATCTTAGGAATAATATTGATAAGCATCTCCTTAGTAACGATAAATTCGTGAAGAATATGGTACATAAGGTCTTGGTCATTATATGGAGGAAATTAGAGACTTATTCACGATTTCCGGGTGAAGTGGAGAATTTCAATGCTTTTTATCAGAATTATCAACTCAATCGAAAGAGAGGATTAAGAGACTTAACTTAGGGTTCAATTGGAAGATATTTTAGAATTTATTTTAATTTAAAAATAAAATGATAATTGGTTGTGTGGACGACTTTGTGATACACATTAAGATATAGTTTCTCTCCACAATTAGAGAGAGACACCACAACCAAGGCAAAAATAAAAGCCTTAATGCAAACACTACAAATGCAGAGTTAGTACTCTTTACCAGGCATGGGGATAATGATTACACAGAGTATTTCAATACAGGGTCGATTACAACTACTTGTAATGTATAATTGAGCATTAACCAATTACAATTACTTGTAATTGAAGTTTTTTACAATTACTTGTAATGTGTAACTGACCAATAAAGAATTACAATTACTTGTAATTGTAATTGAAGTATCCAATTAAAATTACTTGTAATTGTAATTAAGGTATTACTAATTACAAATAATATGTAACCATTACCATTACAAGTAATTCTAATTATTAAAACATCAATTACAACTAATTGTAAATGGCAAAACTTCAATTACAAGTAATAGTAGTTGTTAAAGCTTCAATTACAATTACTTCAAATGTAGTCATTACTCCCCAAGCCTGCTCTTTACCAGAGGATTAGTTATAGTTGTAATTAAGGAACTCAATGTCTACTAGACATGCAGAACTGATTCCGACATTTCAGGTATGATTAACTGGATTTTTACACCTTTTCTTATTCCGAGTCGAGATCTTAGAAATCTGGACAATAGTCAGACAGAATTTAAGGTACTGAAATTCTGCTTTGTTTAGGTATCCGTAGATGAATTATCTAAATAGGATTGAAAAAGTTAAAATCTTTAAATATGTCACTTTCTCGATATAACCTCGGAAAGATACCGTGACGGTAAAAATCAAAGCTGAAACAGTATAACGACTTGTATGTTATTGAAGGCCAAAATTCAACCCTAAAGCAAACAGATTACTAATTACTTAGATTGCTTGGGAGAAGTCTCTGAACTTTGGTATACGTGATTACTCGTCACTGCTCGATTACAGCTTTGAAACAGGTTAGGTTATATATTGAGACAAACCGGTACTTCCAACAAATTTTGAGTATAGATCTTAAGAGGCTCATTTACCCTCTTATAGAGAGGGACTAACATATACAAGTGTTGAACGGATTATTCTTGCTCATCGTCTAAACAACTGCGGCTATATTGCCATAATCCATATAATGTTTTGATTAACAGTACACCAGTAAGATGTCGAAGATCTAGATATAAAATCAATCTTTAAGTGATTTATTCCATTATATACTAAAAAATATATCGAGCGCTGATCTGAGCAATTTGCTATTTTATTAAATTATAGATCATTATTCAGAATTTTTATCTTTACTCTATTATTTTCTTGATGTGCATTTTTAATCCTTAACTTTTCTTTATTATTGCAACAATATTTGAACAAATCGAAACATAAAGCCCAATGTGTAGTTCTCTAATGGATTGAGCCTAAATCCGAATCTGGACTGTTATAATCTCACAGATATGGTAATAAACTGAGTTATTTAGAACTTTTATGACTCGATATATTGAAAACCTGATGTAATAGAAAACAAGTAAGAAATTGTAGTCGGGCGAGGCCGACCATATAATACCTACACCTGTAACAAAAATAAAATGTGATTTAGTTTTCATAATGAAGCATTTAAGTTGAATTTTACCTTGTCTCAGATATACTTAAGCCATTTATTCTGGAATAAAATTGTGGCATTTAAGTCAAATTTTGAAGGGGGCTTTTTATAGGGGCTAGGTCAAATGAGGCCTTATAATTATAAAATTCATGAGGGTTATTAAGGCTAATATAGAAGTTGGTTTTACCGCTTTTTGTCGAGATAGGAGTATATTAAACATAATTAATTAAAAGGCCTATTCGGCGGGTTCAGTTGTATGGGGGCTAAGTGAAATAATGGACCGATGTTAACCATTTTCAAAACGTTTCGTTTCCGGTACCATAGAAGATCATGTACCAAATTTCATTGAATTATCTCCAAAATTGCGACCTGTAGTTTGATTACAAGGTTTACAAGCCCTATTCGGGGGTTCAGTTATATGGGGGCTAGGTGAAATAATGAACCGATCTTAACCATTTTCAATGGGCTTCGTCCCTGGGACAACCGAAGATCATCTACCAAATGTAATTGAATTATCTTCAAAATTGCGACCTGTAGTTTGATTACAAGGTTTACAAGCCCTCTTCCGGGGTTCAGTTGTATGGGGGCTAGATGAAATAATGGACCGATCTTAACCATTTTCAATAGGCTTCGTTCCTGGGACAAAAGAAGATCATGTACCAAATTTCATTATCTTCAAAATTGCGACCTGTAGTTTGATTACAAGGTTTACATGGACGGACAAACGGACGGACATAGCTAAATCGACTCAGAAAAGGATTCCGATTGGTATATTTTAAGGTGGGTATAGGACCATTATTATTATGCGTTACAAACATAAGCACAAACCCAATATACCCTCCCCACTAAAGTGGTGTAGGGTATAAATATACTTGGGTCTCTGGG